GCTGTGGTGTGGTAAATACTGAGAATGATGGGATCCCAATACAGCAATCCCGACACCCTGGGGAACTGGGCACAAGCAAGGAATGTGCATTTCAGTACAAACGTGTCAAATCACATCTACAGGGACGAGGATTCGGTCCCAGTTCTCCCAGTTCTCCCAGTCCCACAAGAAAGGATAAGGATCCTTCAAAAGCACCCAGAGAAATGCCATTGCCAAAATGGTTAAACAAAGGGGGGATGCAGGCAGGGGGAATCTCAGCATCCCCTCTGGCATGCAGCTGATCGCCACGAGCGGCATGTATGTGGGGAACTAGATCTGCCAAGGGAAAGGCTAAAGCAGTGCCAAGGGCTGGGAAGAGCCAAAGATGTTGGCTCAAAACCTTACCAGAGGAGCAGGGGCCAAAGATTACCCTTAAACAGGCGCAGGGAGCACAGAGGTGTGGCGATGGATGAAGCTCTCTGAGGTGGGAGTGCCAGGCCCAGCAGAGTAAGAAGGCAGGGACAGCCTCTGGAAGCATTTAACGGGCAGTTCTCTGTCTCTGGAAACATTTCCAGAACAATTGGCTGTATCTGCTCCAGTTCAGCCAGGAATGCTTCCTGGAAGAACTCGATTACCCCTAGAGCCTTACAATGTATTGGCTGGGTCCAGCACTATCAGAGGAGGCCCAGACCCGAAACAGGCACAGAGCCATAAATAGCCTTTTATCATGAAAACATCACGTCCTCATGGGCCGTGACTGTGAGACAGCTCGGACAGGCCCTGCTCCAGCACATCAGGAAGCTGCTCTCAGCCCTCAGCACATACTTGGCCCCCTCCAAATCCCAAGTACAGCTTGGCTGCTTCCCACCCTCTGTGCTGGAGGGATGGATCAGGGTCCTTGTCACACGTCCTTGTCATGCCTGAGCCCACGTCACCCACACCTGGTGGGGTGGTGGCAGATCTGCTGCCCTGGACACCAAAATCATGGCAGGGAAAGGGACCCTGCTGAGCCCTGGGGCTCCCCTCAGGGGAGGCCCAGCTCCACCTTAGGCTGCAAAATCAGAGAATCCCAGAATGGTTTGGGTTGAAGGGACCTTAAACTCAGCCAGTCCCACCTCCTGCCATGGGCAGGGACACCTTCCACTATGCCAGGTTCCTCCAAGGCCTGTCCAACCTGGCCTTGGACACTTCCAGGAATGGGGCAGCCACAGCTTCCCTGGGCACCCTGTGCCAGGGCCTCACCAGCCTCACAGCCAGGAATGCCTTCCGAATAGCCCATCTATCCCTGCCCTCTGTCCACTTGAAGCCATTCCCCCTTGTCCTGTCCCTCCATCCCTTGTCCAAAGTCCCTTTCCAGCTCTCCTGGAGTCCCTTTAGGCACTGGAAGGGGCTTTGAGGTTTCCCTGGAGTCTTCTCCAGGTGAACAGCCCCGGCTCTCCCAGCCTGGCTGCAGAACAGAGGGGTTCCAATCCTCAGAACATCTCTGTGGTCTCTTCTGGACTCCCTCCTGCAGCTCCACGTCCTTCTGATGTTGGGGACCCCAAAGCTGGAGGTAGCACTGCAGGAGGGTCTCACAAAAGCAGAGCTGAGGGGCAGGGAACAGAGAAGAGAGCCAAGGAGAAGACAGCTGTCAGCCTGAATCTGACTTGGTTTCTCCTCTTCCCATCAGGTCACCAGCTCCTCTACTCCTCAGAAAGGCCTGTGACCCCAAGGGATGACACCAGAGGTCTCTGACTGCAAGAGACTGTCACCACCAGCTTCTGCAGGGCAAAACCAGCCCTTGTCACCCCAGCAAGACTAGGACTCCTGTGCTGTAGGAGCACAACAAAGAGAATGCAGGAGCAGAGGTGCCCTGCTGCAATGGAGCGGAGCTGCAGAAGGGATGAAGGGCTGAACTGCAGGCAGCAGCAGCCATCAGCTGCTGGCTCTGAGCAGCACAGCCGTGCAGGCAGCGTCCAGCCGCTGCCCAGCCCCACAGCACAATGGCCCTGCCTGCGCTGTGGCTGACAGAGCCAATGGATGCGGGAGGCAGAGGGAGAAATGCGCTCAATGTGCTGCATGGGAGGGACGAGGAGGGGAGGGAAGGGGGGAGGCGCAGACAAAGAACAGGGAGATGGAAAGAGAAAAGCAGGCAGGGAGCAGAAGGTGACGCGGGGAGGACGGGGCTGGGGAGATGTGTGTGTGCAGCCCCTCGGCAGCGAGGAGCTGGGCAGCGATGGAGAGCAGCGGGCAGCCAGCCCCTCGCAGGGCCCTGCAGGAGCGGCAAGCCAGGCCCAGCAAAATGAAAATCTCTTAACCACACAGAATTGTTAACTGCTCCCAAATCCTTTTGTGCTGGGGCTGCGAGCTTAGAAGAGCTTAAGCTGTTAGATGCATGAACTTCCTCCATAAATATCCCTTGTGCACACTGCCGCGAGCAGGCTGGCGCGCTATTAGCCAGATGAAAAACCCAGCGGAGGAAATGAGCAACTCCTTCCAGCTGCACAGAGGGGTTGTCCATTCCTTGGGATGCCCTTCTCCACCTGGACCCTTTGGTGGGGCAGGACCGTGTCCCCCCATGCTCCCTGCCATGTCCTGTTTGGGCGCCTGAGCGTGTGAGAGAGCTTTGCCCCCAAAGCCAGCTCAGATTTGCTATTGTTTTTCTTCTGGAAAGGGGCCCAGATTCCCTCCCACCCCTGGAAACGCGAGCAAACCTGCCAGCCACATGTAGGAGTGAGTCCCCCAAGCCAGGCAGCTCCACTGCTGCCTCCGCAGGGAGCAGGGGCAGGGACCCGTGGGAAGGACGGCAGGGATGCAGGGATGCAGGGATGCAGGGATGCAGGGATGCAGGGATGCAGGGATGCAGGGATGCATCCCGCAGGTCCTTCCCGAGCAGAGCTGGGGCCACCAGCCCCTTCCCAGCCCTTTGTGGGGCTCACGGGAGGGCTGGGAGAGGACGGGGATTCCACGGCTGTCCTGCCAGCTCTGTGTCTGGCACTCCTCCCAGTCCCCACTCCTCTTCTGCAGGCTGCCCGGGAAGAATGGAGCAACACAATCCCGGGGTCCCATCCAGCCCTGATTCCACCCCACATGAGAAGGGGAAGGGAAAGAAAGAACGGGGAAGGCAAAGACCAAAGGGAAAGGGAAAGAAAAGAAGAGAGAGAGAAAGCAATAGGAAAGAGAATAAAAGGGAAATAGGAAGGGGAAGGAAAGAGGAAGAGGAAGTGAAGAGGGAAGGGAAGAGGAAAGGGAAGGGGAAGGAGAAGGGGAAAGGTAACGAGAACGGAAAGAAGAAGAGAAAAGGGAAAGAGAAGGGGAAAGAGAAAAGAAAAGGGAAGAGGAAGGGAAAAGCAAAAAAAAACCACAAAAGGCAAGGGGAAGGAGAAAGGAAAGGGGAAGGGGAGGCAGCTGCCCCGTGGAGACGATGGGCTGCTGGCCACGGCGTGATTAATGCGGGCGGGGAGCGCGGGGCCGGCTGCAGAAACAGCTGCCGAGGTACCGGACCTCCCAAAATCCTGCTGCTGCTGCTGCTGCTGCTGCTGCTGCCAGACAAAGAGGGACCGGCCTCTCCTCTCCCCGCTCTGCTCCCCCGAGCCCTGCGGGACAGGAGGGGTCCTGCGAGCCCCGGCCCCGCAGAAACCCCGGCTGCATCCCAGCAAAGTCCGGGAAAAAACCTGCCGTGAATCACTGGGGCTTTCTGCTGTTGCTACTGATGCTTCACTTGGGAGTTGTAAAACCCCCGTCTGCCCTTCGAGGCAGGGATTAGCCGGGCTCGGTTTCCAGCAGTACTTCCTTGCTGTCCCCATCCCCATCCCTGCTAAGGCTGTAAGACACTTGATCTGCCCGAGCTCGGTGGGAAGAGGCGTTCAATGGCTAAGCGTGGAGTAGCTGAAATAATGGATACAAAATGATCCCCACAGCACACCAGAACCTGAATTTTGTGCATGAGTAGCCCATCCACCAGCAGCAGACATGGAGCCATACAGCCTGCAGTCCCTACTGAGCACAATCAGATTGTCCACTCCCCTCTCCAGTGTGTCTGTCCCCCACCTCCAGCACCTTCCCCAGGCTTGGTTCTACCTGGCCAACCCTTCACAGCCAGAAGAGAGGAGACACAGCTCCTCCCTTGGCTCTGCAATGGCCACCAGTGTATCTATAATGGATCTCAGAAGCGCTGCCTCTGCTTGGAGTGTGCCAATCCTATCAGAACCGCACGCAGATTTGAACGTTCTGCCAGGACAGGGGAGAAAGACCTTGTTTGCCAAACTCTGTGGTTTGCTCCATGTATGGCACAGCTGCAGGTGCCCATCACACAGCTCTGGGTCCACACCTCCCTTCCAGCAACCCTAGGAGCTCCCTTCTCAACCTTCCCGAGCCCATGGATGGCTGGACAGGAGCACAGACATCAGCTCAGGAACGGGGGGGCTGAGCCTCTTGCTGGGCTGGGGCCACGCTGGCTCTGTGGTGCTCATCTGAGCTCAGCAGGCACTCACGGAGTCTGCTTTGAACATCTACAGAGGCAGAATATTTATAGGGCAGGAAACCTCTGGCTGTTGAGGAGCACAGGGACCAGGTAGCTCTGAGCAGGCCACGACCATGTCCCACCCTGGGCCATTTGCACCTCACCAAGAAAACACTGTAGACAACTTGCTCCCTCCCACTGCACCCTTTTGGGACCGTGCATTCCCACTCCCCTCATCCAAGAAGAGATTCAGCCCATGCCAAAGCACACAGCAAAACCAACAGCATAACAGCCCCAGTATTTTGGAAGGCAACTGCAGACTGGTGACATGCACCACACATGTGTGCCTCCAAAACCTGGAGAACATGGACAGCACCAGAAACGGGTGCTCAGCAGCCCTGGGGACCCAGAGGTCATGCACAGCCTCTGCAATGGATGGATGAGCCTGGGGCAGGGAGCGAGGAGCCGGGGAAGGAATCAGCCCCACACGTGCCCCTCTGCCAGCCCTGCCCAAGGAGGTCCCTCCCAGATGGTTCATGCAGAGCCCAGCGGCAGAGGTGAGCCCGCGGGCCGTGGTTACCTCTGCAGACGGTCCCGTTCTCCACCGACTCGTAGCCGGCCCGGCACATGCAGCGGCCGATGGGCACCAGCCACTCGCCGTCCCCGTTGCAGTACAGCTTGATGGGCACGTCCACCTCCTCGGCATTGGCAATGCACGTGCCCCTGGCTGCCACCAGCGAGGTGCTCTCTGCTCCCGACAGGGTTTCTTGGAAGACGGCCCCGTTCTGGATCACACGGGGACATTTGCGGTAGAAGACACGGACGGCAATCAGGGACATGCAGCCCCCATAGTCCTGGAAGGCCAGGTAGAAACCATTCTTGGAGACAGGCCCAAAACTGCGCACCTCAGTGTTGATCTTCATCACCCGTCCACCTAAGTCCACCTGTGAGAAGCTCTCATCAGCAGCAATTGTGTCCACCTTCATCCAAGGATTCTCCATCCAGTTAGGAAAAGTCTTGGTGGCCGAGTCGAAGTCTGACTCGAAATAGTAGAGGTTAAAAGTCTCCTTACAGGAGCCTGGGACATTGGGGATGCTGCTGCAGTCCCGGACAGAAAATTTCATCTCCACGTGGATGCGGTGTGCTCCTCGCCTCCGGATGTACTTGGTCCGGAGCCAGTTGTTCTGGCTGGATTCAAAGACGTTGCACACCTGGTAGGTGCGGATCGTGTTCATGTTCTCGTCGTACCCACTCACCTCTTCCCACTGCGGGCAGGACACAGACAGTCAAGGGGCTGCTCTGAACAGGTGCTCCCCACCCTCCTGACCTCCTCCCATCCCCACTGTGTGCCACGTAGGCTCTGCCAGCACCAGCTGCCCCTTTCCGTGCCCACCCCATCCCAGGCTGTCCCACGGTGCCGAGCCCCTCATGCCAGCACCCTCCTGCAGGTGCCCTGTACCTGCCTGGGCAGAGTTTGACCCACACCATGCCCCAGGGAGGACAAAGGGGTCCCTCGTGGCCACCTTGCTGCCACTAGCACCATGCTCCATGCCTGGATTCAGGGTCAAGCCTCTCTGCTGCTGGAGGGACAGCAAGGCCACTGCTCTGCTGAAATGGTTTTAGTAGGGACTGTGCCTCTGGCAAAGAGCACAGTGCCTTTAGCACAGGGATTCCCACCAGTGCCACTATGGCTACAGACATGGCAAACAGGACCTGCTTCCTCAAAGCCATAAAACCTTCTCCCTGCCTGCAGCCAGAGCCTCTTCCAGGGGCAGGATGGGATCACGGCCAATCCTGCTGTGCTCCCATAAAGGGAGGTGCTGGGTCAGTCCCACTGGAGCCCTCATCCCTGCCCCTTTGATGGTCAAATGCTCCTCCATTTGGGGTTCCACCAGCAGGCGTGCTCATGTCCCAACCCCAGCTGTCCTGACCTGGATCTATGGGATGCAGACATGGCTACGAGTTGTGCCATGACAGCAACACCCTTCTCAGCAAGACAGCTCAGAGCTGATAGATTTCCCCATGGGAAGCTCTGCCCAGCTCCCCCCAGCTGACTGACTCTGCCAGCTCTGGAGGAAGCTCTGTAGAGATACAGAGGAGAATATCCTGAGCTGGAAGGGACCCACAAAGATCATCAAGTCAGCCTCGTGGCCCTGTACAGTCACCCCAACAATCCTCCTCCTGTGCTTGAGCATGGTGTCAAAAGGCTCCTGGAGCTCTGGCAGCCTCGGGGCTGTGCCCATTCTCTGGGGAGCCTGGGCAGTGCCAGCACCCTCTGGGGGAAGAACCTTTTCCTACCATCCAGTCTAAACCCCTTTGACACAGCTCCAGCTGTCCCCTTGGGTCCCCACACAGCTCAGGGCTGCTGTGACATCATCTGGACTTCTCCAGCTCTCTGCCCTTTTCTCAGGCTGTTTTTTCCCAAATCCTCCAGCACTGTTGTCTCCATTCTGTGTACATGGGGACATTTCAGAGAGGGAGATGCAGGACATGAGCTGCAGCCTGTAACTGGTCACTGTTCCTCTGCAGGGAGCACCAACAGGGAAGGGTCTTTGTGCGAGGAGAAGCCTCAGCTCACAGAGCATCTCCCCCTGCCCAGCCTCTGCCAGAGTGCAGAGCATCTCCCTGCAGTCCCATACCCACCTAGGGCATCTGTGTGATGCTGGGCAACAGGGACCAGAGTCCTGCTGGCGTGTGACACAGTCCTGGCCAGCTGGAACTGCTCCTTCTGAATTTGTTCATAAAACTGCTCAAGTGGAAGCCGAGCTGCTTCCCATGGATGCTACACCCCAAGCACAACCCTGCCCTGGATGTAGGATCACAACCAAGGCAGGGCAGCAGCACAGTCCAGATCCAGCACCAGTGCCAGGACCCGATCCAGGGAAAATCCTGCAGGAGCAGAGCACCCCCAGCCCCTCAGGTTGTAAAGGGCCTCACAAGGGCACCCAGGACTGGGGAGAGAGGCTCAGGAGATGGGAGACAGATTGCTCCTCGCACATCAAGGCTCACAGTCCAACAGAAGGCTGTCAGGGAAGATCCCCAACAGCTCCAACCACTTCAGTTTGGCAGTAGCTGTAAAGCTGCTGCCAGGGCTGGGGGATAAGAAGAGCATCCCTGCAAAACACAGCTGGAACACTTGCTTTGTTTTCCAGAAATAAATTTGGTGTGTTAGTGGAAAATTGCAGGATCTCCCTGCTTTTCAGGGCACTGGTTGGTGAGGGAATCAAGGACAAAGCATGTGGAAGCAATTCCTTCCCTTGCCCTGCCTCTGATTTGGCTCTCCCTCACCTGGACCACTCCAGACACCCACCTGCAGCTACCAAGACCAAGGGACCCCCACCCACAACTGCCCAACCCCCAGGCAGGGTAAGGACGCAAGCCCAGAGAGCTCAGCCTTGGTCAGGCAGGAGCAGCACATGCTGGAATGCGGGTTTCCAGGACTTGGGATGAACGGGAGATGCCGAAGGCAGGGCTTGGGGACATATATGAATGGCACAAGAGTTTCAGAGCCAGGTGTAATGGAACTGTTTGGGCTTTGGGGTCTCTAATAATCCCCAAAAAGGAGCACACGGCAGCTTCTGTCTTCCAGGCGATGCTGGCTGCACCCAACCTGGCCAGTTAACTTTGAGTAGGATGCACTGCCTTGTCCTGCCTGTGGACATGAGGCCATGGGGGTACCCATGGGTACCCATGATTGTCACCCACGATGAGCACAGAGCGGGACATGATGTGCCCATATCCCCCCTGAGGGCCCTGCCCAGAGGTGCAGACAGGAGGTGATCCCACCAACCGCTGGAACTGCATTGCACTGTCCAGAGAGGCATCTCCACCCTGATGGGGGACCTGGGAGCACCCTGGGGGCCAGGCTCGGGACCCCCAGCATCCTCCCACATCCCTGCCACAGCAAGTGGCCGGCTCCAGACTTCCTTTTTCCCAGATGGGAAAGTCACCCCTGTGCACCAGCCCCTGCGCTTCCTCGACGCTTAATTAGAAGCCTCTCCCTTTCTCTTGGCTCTCTAATTAACATGCCGGGAGCTCAAAAGGAGGCAGCAGCACAATAACCCGGGGAGACGGCTTCCAGCAGGCCCCGGCCTCATTAGGGCCGGGCTGCGGAGCGGGAGCAGGGCGTGCTTCACATATGGAAACGCCGCAAACAAGCAAGGCTGGGCCAGCAGAGAAAAGCCTTGACCTCTTCTCGCCCGCATTGTGTGCCCGTCATCCCCCTCGGGGGCACTGGCGGGGCTGGGGCAGCTCTGCCCTTATCATGGTGCTGGGCCCGGCCGGCAGCGCCCGTGCCTGGCGCGGCACCGCGGCCACGCTGCTCCGGCTCGGTTTCATCTCCCCACACGAGGCTTTTCTGGGCTCTTTCTTTGCTTCTGCCAAGTCGCCTCAGATCGAGGGCGTGCTGTCAGCCTGGGGGTCAGGTCCACAGAAACGTCTTCATCCAGCCCCTGCAGAGGGTGGATGGAAGGCAGGACGGAGCCTGAGCCACCACTGCCATGCACGGGAAGCATTTCCCGGCTTTGGCCAGGCTGGACTGGGCTACCCACGTGAAAGGCAGCAGATCTGGGGGGTTGGACGCTGTGGCTGCTGCTGGTTACCACAGCCAGAGGTGGGCAGGATGCTCTGAAGCACCATGATACCCCACCTGGGGCACAGCAGTGGCTCCACTCTGGTTTTCTCCCATGAGCAGAAGGGTGCAGAAATCACAGAATCACAGCATGTTCTGAGTTGGAAGGGACCCACCAGGATCATTGAGTCCAGCTCCTGACCCTGCCCAGGACACCTCAAAAATCCCAGCCTGTGCATCCCTGAGAGCATTGTCCAAATGTTCCTGGAGCTCTGGCAGCCCTGGGGCTGTGCCCATTCCCTGGGGAGCCTGGGCAGTGCCAGCACCCTCTGGGGGATGAACCTGATGCACTGTCTTGTCCAAGCTCTTCTTTAAAAGAGCTTCTTCAGGGTGGTCTTCAAACATGATTCAGGGTACACCTGGCCCTGGTAAAGAAGACAGTTAGTTCTGCTGAGCCAGCAAATGCCATCCCATCTCTCCATGGGATGCCAGGGATGCTGGACATTCCTTTCAGGACCTGAGCCTAATGCCCTCATTCTGCCACAAGTAACAGGCAATGCAATAACAAGTGAAACACTGGGGACAAATTATGGTGGCCTTGGCATATTGTTTCTTCCTCTCCTCATTTTTAGGTGGCTGCATGCCAGCTCTGTGGAGACTACGATTCCTCTAGCACCACACTGCGTGACTCTGTGGGGTGGGAACTACATCCCATAAACACTGGGGTATTTTTTGGAGTATCATCTAGAAAACTACTGGAAACCTCAACTGTCACCTCCTTTTGTGCTCTTCTCACATGGCCAAGGCACTTTGCATCAGTGCCTGACCTTTCCTGCCCGACAAGCCTGCCACATTCAGGTGCAGAGGAGACCCCAGAGCAGCTCTAGGTCCCCATTAGCTGGTGCCTTACCCCTGATGGAGGATGCACGGTCCAGCCCAGCTCTGCTGTCGCCGTGGTGGAGTCCATCAGTGTCTCTGTGGGAGGAAGGGGAAACAGGGAGTCACTGGATGCTGCTGAAAGGACTGAAGATGGAGACAGGGAAAAAGATGGAGAGGAGCTAGCCCAGGGCTGCAGGGCTGGAGCCCATCCCACATTGAGCCTTTTGGCCACATCTCAGCCAGAGGACCCAGGTGCTGGTCCCTCCACCCAACTGCTCCCCACCCACTGCCCACTGCTCCCTGACCCCCATGCAGAATCAAAAAATGTTAAGATTGGAACTGACCTCCAAGATCATCAAGTGTAACCATCAGCCCAGCACCAAAACAATGTTTATCATTAAACCACGTTCACAAGTGCCACATCCACATATTTTTTTAACATCTCCAGGGACAGTGATTTCACAAGTGCCCTAAGCCAATGTCTGACCATCCTTCCCATGAAGGAATATCCAATCGAAACTTCTCCTGGCACAGTTTGAGGCTGTTTCCTCTTGTCCTGTATCTTGCTCCTTGGAAGCAGAGCCCAACCCTGACCTGGCTGTCCCTCCTGTCAGGGTGCAGAGCCAGAAGGTCCCCCCTGAGCCTCCTTTTCTCCAGGCTGAGCCCCTCAGCCACTCCTGGTGCTCCAGACCCTTCCCCAGCTCCATTCCCTTCTATGGAAATGCTCCAGCCCCTCCATGTCTTCATTTTCATTAGGGGCCCAAAACTCACCCCAGGATGTGAGGTGGGACCTCAAGGTGCCCAGAACAGGCAATGTCTCCTGCTCTGAAAGGGGACTCTTCCATCCATCAGCCAAGCTGGATTTTCCTCCTCTCAATCCTAAATCCAGGTACCCCAGCCCAGTTCTACCCCTGCAGATGAGAAGCAGCCTGAGCAGGGATCCTCCATTCCCTTCTAGTTTCCTTTTCCAAAAGCAGGATATTTTTTTCTCAGCACTTTGCACAGTAGGGAGAATCCTCGGAGATGCAGTAGGATGTGGGGAGGAACACCACTTTTAGAACTTAAAAGTACTAAAAAATTAAACCACTGCTAAAGCTGATTTTCCAGATGATTTGGGTTGAAATAGGTCAGGTGATGCTACCACTGACCAGCACAGACAAGCCTCCTCACCCTTACTGCAGCTCAGGATACTTCCAGCACTGCAATTCTTTTCATCCCAAATAGCTGCAGGTTGGTTTAACTCCACTGATGGCACAAGGAGGGGTGCTCAGGTTATGGCACCCCAATATCTGGGCCAACATGAGCAGGTGAATGTGCCAGCCAGAAATAAATGGGACAGACACTTGGAATCATGGAATCGTGGTTCCAAAAGCCACCTAATATCGAGTCCAAGCACTACTGCAGCACTGCCATGTTCAGCACTAAACCATGTCTCTAAGCACCACATCTACACACTTCTTTAACACTCCCCAAGGAGTGCTCAAAAGTCTTTTTTGGACACTTCCATGAGTGGCTTCCAGAGTCTGGTAACTCTCTGTTCCTCCAGTTCTGCAGCCACATACTCATGGCAATACAGGGATTTTTCTGCACCACACCCAAGGCTGACAGTTTAAGAAAATAGGACAATATTCCTGACTTTAGGAAATGAAGTTGAGAAATTCTGCCCAAAGGCCTCAAACCACTGAGTCTGGACATGAGGTGAGCGTGGTGGGACAGACTGCACAGGGCAGCACATGGCCAGTGATTCTGTGCTGAGACCGTGGTCATGCCCAGAGGGGAAATTCTGTCCCTCTGCTCTGCTGGGACAATGTGAATCTGCCCCTGAGTTCAGCACACGCCCTGGGGATGCCAAGTGCACTCGCAGGGATGCTGGGAAGCGTCCATCCCACACACACTTAGAGTCCCAGAATGGCTGGGGTTGGGAGGGACCTTCAAGACCATCCAGTCTCACCCTCCTGCCATGGGCAGGGACACCTTCCACCATCCCAGATTGCTACAAGCCCCATCCAACCTGGCTCTGGACACTGCCAAGGGTAGTGGCTCCAGTCCCAGAATGGGAATGGATAGTTACTGGATGTAATCATGTCCTTCTGCTGTCCTTCTCCCCACCAGAGAAACAAGCATGCTGCCACAAACCCCCCAAAAGCATCTCCACCTTCTCCACTTTCACTCCATTGAACAAAAACAAAGGGAGAAAAGCTCAGCCTTGAGCAGATCCATCACTGAAGAGCCAGGCCTGGATGCAGAGCTGACAAATGCTCCGTGCGTGTGACCTCCTGCTCCCCACTGGCACCCCAAAAAGTGCCTCGGCAGCACTGTGCTCCCTGCACCTACTCCTGGCAGTAAATCCTGCTCAGACTGTGGCTTGTTCATTACTCCTGGTTTGAGCCAGCGGTTTCCAGTTCACAGGAAACCAGGATTTCGAAATTTGGTTTTATTCCAAGAGCAAAAAGCAAAAAATAGTTCTTTTCAATTTTTCCCACTAGGAAGAGTCTGGAAAACAGCTAATCCCGAAATGTTGTGGGTCAGATTTGCAAAATTTCTTTTTAAACTGAGAATTTGTTTACATAGGGCAATAATAGTGTTTACTTTACCAGAGAATCTTGCTTTTTCATTAAAACACCAGTGGTGTTTGATCTGAAAGGAAAACAACATTTTTCACACAGTGCTAGCAAGAAGCTTTAAAAACCCCCTGAATTTGTTACTTTATCTTAACTATCAATGACAGTGGTGCATAGTAAGTACATTAATAGTAGTGACTAAAATGGAAAAGAAGATATACTCGAAGTCATTACAAATAATTCCCCAAATAAACTTCATTTTTTGAAGCATTTTGCATTTTAAAAAGCCTTTTATTTAATGAAAACTCAGTGCAGTGGAAATGCGGTGCTCAGTACACCTCTGCTCCCACCCCCTTATCCTCAGCTGAAGGATCTTCTTGGAGCTCTGCATCCACTCTGGCTGGCCCAGAGAGAAGGAGGAGAAGAAATTCATGGGTTTTAAGCAAGTTTTTCCAATGGCAAATTATCTTCCCATAAAAAACACCAGATATTCCATTAATTTTAGTCTGGATTTACACCATTTAGCTGCCAGCTATTGGATTTCCTTTTCCTTCTACAAAGACTCTGCAGTCCAAAACCTTTCTCTCTTGTGGTGCTCATGGGTGGCAAATGATCCATCTCCAAGACAGCTAAATTAGCTCAGCTTCCTTCTTCTTCCTCCCTACACCAGGTTGCTGTTTGAGGCTCCTGTTTATCACCCTTCATTGTGTTGTGCAGGGGGTCCCAGGGCTGTGGTCCCCACTGCACACAGCTGTAACACCCCAGTGTGCCCCTCTTGGAGCCGTTTGCAGAGTTGCTGCCCAGGCTGAAGTCCTTTTGGAGATGGGGTTACACTGAGAAGAGAGTGCCTGAATTACAGAAAATTGGCAATAACTGGTCCCCGTGAAGCATGGTGACCCTGCAGGGTCAGCACAAGTGGATGTGAATCAGAACCATAAAACCACAGAATGGTTTGGGTTGGGAGGGACCTTAAAGCTCACCTAGCTCCATGGGCAGGGGCACCTTCCACAGTCCCAGGTTGCTCCAGGCCCTGTCTAACCCAGAATTACAGAACCATAGAAGAGGCTGAGCTGGAAGGGACACACAAGGATCATTGAGTCCAACTCCCAGCCTTGCACAGGAACCCCAACAACCCCAGCCTGTGCCTCAGAGTGTTGTGGAAACACTCCTTGAATTCAGACAGATTTGTGACCACTGCTCGGGGAGCCTGTTCAGCGCCCAAGCAACCTCTGCTGAAAAACCTTCTTCTCATATCCAACCTAAATCTCCTCTGACTTAGCTCCAGCCATTTCTTCAAGTCCTACCACTGCTCATCAGAGTGAAGAGACTGGTACCTGCTCCTCTGCTGCCCTTCAGGAGGATGTTGCAGAGCACAAGGAGGTCTCTTCCAGACTCCTCCAGGCTGAACAAACCAAGTGACTTCAGCATCTCTTCACACAACTTTCCCTCCAGACCCTTCCCCAGCTTCATGACCTCCTTTGGATTGGATGTGCCCTAGTTGCTTAATGTATTTTTAATATTGTGCTGCCCAGCTCTGCTCCAGGACTTGAGGTGAGGCTGCCCCACTGCAGAGCACAGCTCCCCTCCCTTGCCTGGCTGCGCTGCTGTCCCTGATGTCCTCCAGGACATGGGTGGCCCTCCTGGCTGCCAGGGCATTGCTGACTCAGATCCAGCTGGCCATTGACCAGGACCCCAGGTCCTTTCCTGCAGCTGCTCTCCAGCCTCTTGTTCCCTGCTCCACCCACACATCCAGGGTTGCCCCATGGCCAGTAAAGAATCTGGCACTTTCCCTTGTTGAGCTTCACATGGTTGGTGGTGGCCCAGTCCTCTGTTCTGTCGAGGTCTCTCTGCAGGGCCTCCCTGCCTTTGAGGGAGGCAGCAGTTCCAGTTTTGTATCTTCTGTGAACTTGCCTCATGTTCCTTCCAGTCCTATCTCCAAGCCATTAGATGCTGAAGAGCTCAGAGCAATGACAAGGCCCTGCAGTGACAGGTCACCACTCTGATGTCATCCCAGTCACTGTCACCCCTTGTGCCTGACCTGTGAGCCAGATTCTCGCCCATCATGTGATGTGTCCAGCTGGGGGCTGGACAGGGTGTCCAGAAGGATCCTGTGAGAGATAGCATCAAAAGCTTTGCTGAAATCAAAAAAGATTCCATCTCCTGGCTACCCTTGATCAATCAGGTGGGTTTACCCCGTCATAGAAGGAAATCAGGTTTGATAAGCAGGACTTCCCCTCATGAAGCCATGCCAGCTGAGACCAATGACTGTTGTCCTCCAAGTGTTTCTCAATATTTCTCAGAATAAAGCTCTCCATTGATTTTACCAGCCAAAGAAGTGTACCTGACAGGCCTCTAGGGTTTCTAGGGTCCTCCTTCTTGCCCTTCTTAAAAATTAGGACAATGTTCGCTGACTTCCAGTCAGCTGGGACCTCTCTGAAATCCCAAGACTGTTCAAAAATCACCAAGAGAGGCTTTGCAATGACATCAGCAGCTCTGAGAGGATCTTGGATGAATCATAGAATCCCAGAGCAGTTT